GTCTAACATAACTTGACACAGAGCTCTCACGCAGAGCCTCTGTCTAACATGATACATAGCTCTTTTGTAGAGTTTCACTATAACATAACTTGATACGAAGCTCTCATGCAAAGCTTCTGGCTAGCATGACACAAAGCTCTCATGCAAAGCTTCTGTCTAACATACTTGATACAGAGATCTTATGTAGAGCTTCTGTGTAGCATTCTCTAAGGTGGCTTCTAAGCAGGCTGCGATACTGTGTGTTTAACAATGAAATCTAGTCCTTGAAATCGACTCCCAAAACACAAAGTCTGGACGTGAGCCTTCTAGGGTTCTATACAGGGCCAAAGCCACGGCTAAACATTGTTTAAATCATAAATTTGGTCGAGTATTTACCTCTAAACGACGGAAAGCAGGGGGTTTTCCTTGCTGGTTTGAACTCCGACTTCTCTCTTTCAAGCTCAACGATTCCCTTATTCTCCCAAAAGAGTAACTACCTTAACCTGTTGCCCTTAATTTATACTCGCACGATTTGGCCTATTAGTTGACCAAATCGGCAGAATCCCGAGTTTGGGGCTGTGAGACTCTCTTCTGCAATCATGTAGGTCGCAGTTTCCTTTTATGGACCAGGCATCGCCTGATCGTCTGCTGCCTCTCCCATGCTAACAGCAGGCTCCCCCCTCTAAATGGGGCCTTCAGCCCTTAGCCGCAAGTGAACAATTTGACTTATTTCAAATTTCAAATTTTTAGTTTAACATATATATATATATATATATATATATGTATAAAAATAGAATAATAATAAAAATGCCTTATTAAATTCCTCGAATTTTTTTTGGGTTTTACAACTCTTCCCTCCTTCAAGAAATTCCGTCCTCGGAATTAACACTTGCTGAAACAATTGAGGATACTTAGATTTCATTTCTTTTTCGTGCTTCCACGTCATTTCTGCACCCTTATGGAATTTCCACTTAATTAACACCAAGGGTATACTCTTGTTTCTTAGTCTTTTCGTCTTCTTATCCAATATGCCAATTGGCTCTTCCACATAAGCGAGTTTGTCGTTAACTTCGATGTTTTCCAGATCCAGAACAGTTGATTCGTCATCTAAATATTTTCTCAAGTTTGACACATGAAAGGTATTGTGAATACCACTTAACTCCTCTAGTAGTTTCAACCGGTAAGCAACTGCTCCTACTCTTGCAGTTATCTCAAATGGTCCGATATACCTTGGACTTAGCTTACCTTTCTTTCCAAATCTCACGACCCCTTTCCATGGCGATATTCTCAGCAAGACCTTATCACCTACTTGGAATTCCAAAGGTCGACGTCTTCTATCCGCATAACTCTTTTGTCTATCTTGCGCAAACTTTAATCTCTCCCTAATCTGTACTATTTTATCAGATGTCTGTTGGACTAACTCGGGTCCAGCTAGTTGTCTTTCTCCAATATCGGCCCAACAAATTGGAGTTCTACACTTACGGCCATACAACGCTTCAAATGGTGTCGTCTTGATGCTTGAATGGTAACTGTTGTTATAAGCAAATTCTATCAATAGGAGGTGGTTGTCCCAACTACCTCCAAAGTCAATCACACAAGCTCTCAGCATATCTTCTAGCGTTTTTATCGTCCTCTCACTCTGGCCATCAGTTTGAGGATGATATGCAGTACTCATGTTCAACCATGTTCCCATTTCTTGTTGAAAACTTGACCAAAACCTCGAAGTAAACCTAGCATCTCTATCTGAGACAATGGAGATTGGCACCCCATGTCTCGACACGATTTCATTGACATAAAGCTGGGCCAATCTTTCTAGCGTATACTTGTCGCTGATCGGTAAGAAGTGAGCCGATTTCGTTAGCCGATCCACAATTACCCATATAGCGTCGTGTCCCTTTACCGTCCTTGGAAGTTTGGTGACAAAATCCATTGTGATCATATTCCACTTTCATACTGGGATCTCCATTTGTTGCAACATTCCAGATGGTCTTTGATGCTCAGTCTTCACTTTCAAGCACGTCAAACATTTCCCCACATAGTTAGCTACCGCCCTCTTCATACCAGGCCACCAGTAGCTTTCTTTTATGTTCTTGTACATCTTATTACTACCTGGATGCATAGTGTATTTAGACTTATGTGCCTCGTCCATCACCACATTCCTTAGATCTCCCAAACTAAGAATCCAAACCCAATTCCCGTGTCTATATATTCCATCTGGTCCAGCTGTCAAGGTCTTAATTTGTCCAATCATTCTCTCCTTTTTGATGTTCGCTTTGAGTAAAGCTTCCTTTTGGACATCCCGTATTCGGTCTAAGAGTTCCACTTTAACATTCATCCACATGGCTCGAACCCTGATTAGTCCGCTTCTCTCCTTCCTACTAAGTGCATCGGCGACTACATTTTCCTTACCTGGATGGTAGTGGATCTCACAGTCATAATCCTTAAGTAGTTCCATTCCTCTTCTTTGTCTCATATTTAGTTCCTTTTGATCAAACAAATACTTAAGGCTCTTATGAGCAGTATAGATCATGCACTTCGTACCTATAATATCCGTGTTTTCGTTAACTCGTACAAATTGGGTTAAGAGAATTTTGGTAGAATTATGCATAATATATTTGTACCCTATGCTTAACCAATTTGTACCCTA